GTGCCCCAGCTAGTCCACTGTTGAATGTCTAGCCCTGGGTGCTGCTCATGTTTTCTTTCTTACCTGCGAGGTGCGGAGGAATGTCAAGTGCAGCCGTGGTCCTAGGGCTGGGGCCATGCTTGGGAGGAGTGGGCTCGCTGGATGGCCCTGGGCCTGCCTGTGGCCCCTGCAGGTTGGGGCTTATGTGCCACTCCCCCCAGGTGCCTCAACTATGTCCTGGAGGAGCTGAAGCACAACACCAAGGCCAAAGTAATGGTGGCCTCCCACAATGAGGACACAATTCGCTTCACGCTGCGCAGGTAGGCACCCCCCCCGAGCTGTGCGGTGCTCCCCGGTGGGGGAGGGGCTCGGGATGAGTGCTGTGGAAGCCTGTGCGGAGTGACCTGCCAGGCGCGGTGGTATTCGCAGGGTAACGTCTGTGCAGGGAGCTGGAGGGCAGCTTTAGTGTCCTGCAGGCCCCCCGCCTCCCAGGCCCAGCTGGGCATTGGCACTGCAGGAGCAAAAAGGTTATTTGTAGTTACTTTGGTTTTTAAAGTTAATACCTGACTTATTAAAGTTGCAAATTCAAAAACTAAATTTCCTTAGGTGAAATGACGTGCTTACGGAACTTTGTGCTTACTGAAATGCACAAATATGTGACGTCAGCGCCCCTCAGGGGTCCTCCGCCGTGTCACATCGTTTATAAATAATCTCTCTTAACGCTTGAAACTGCATTTGGAATTTAATATAGTCTGTTTTCTCTTTAAATGCCTGTCCTGTGGAGCAAAAGTTTGGTAGAATCCATACAAGTCAGATATAGGAATAAGGTGAAGTAAATTCTTAAAATATTCCAGTGTCATTACCACGTTTTTGTGTTTTCATCTTCACCCAGGCAGCACCACACGGGGTGGGAGGTGGAGGGGGTGTTTCTAGCCCCAGTGGCCACCTTCCTGGGCTGGAGGCCCCACACAAAGCATGGCGGCAGTGGCCCTGCCAGCCCCAGCCTTTCCCGGGAGCAGAGCAGGGCGCCCAAGGCTTGTGGCTGAGCTGGGCTCTGGGAAGGAGGGATGAAGGAACAGCCAGGGCAGGGCGCGGCCAGGCTGGGCAGCTTCGGGGCTCCACACCCACTGTGACGAGGCTCCCTCCCAAGAGTCCCTGCCAGGGTCCGGTCTGACTGCTTCTGTGGGATGGGTGGGGGGGTGCCGAGTGGAGCCCCAGCCGGACGGGACTGTTCCGCCTTCTTCTCCGTCCCTAGGGACTTCCCAGGTACTCATTTCCTGCCTCAGACGCCCCATCCTTGTCATTGGATGTCAGAGGGCCAGGGGCACCTTTTGCGCTCAGCGCAAAAAGAAAAAAAAAAAAAGGTTTAGCTTGACTTTTAAAACAAACACCTGATTGAGTTGTAAATCTTAAAACCTGTTTTCCCCTTAGACTTAAAAATATTACTCTGTGACGGAAACTTGATCAAAGCTTGAACCCTCGGGCACCAGGGTCCTCCGCTAGACGAGGTACATCAAGAGCCTCCCTGCACCCCTGGCCCAGCACTTGGGAACCTGCACCCCTGCACAGTGGCAGGCCCCTGTGTGGGTCAGCGGTATGGAACGTGGCGCTCTCTTAGGTTTCAGTTACGAGCTCAGCCGGCTCTGGTTGGCCACTCACATTTAATGCAGGGATCACAGGTAGTCCACTCAGACACCAGCTACACAGACTCTGAGAGGTGTAACCTGTCCTCAGGAGGGCTTTCCTGCCTCCTGTCTTCTGAATCTTCCCACCCACAACATGTCTGTTTTCACCAGCCTGCTGCCCTGGACATGGCTTCTCCCCATCCAGAGTGCCATCTGAGCACGCTCTCCTCTCTCATAGCCCCCCTGGGCCTGTGCCAGGCTCCACAAATACCACTATTGTGGAGAAGGCTCAGCCCCTCACAGTCCATGGTTCTCTGGAGCCCACAGCAGCTTGGGCTGGCCCTCCCCGAGGAAGCGGTATGGGTCTCTGATGCCACATCGGGGATCTCAGTCTGAACAGCTTGGGTCAGCTTTGGCCAAGTGGCAAACCAACCCCAAACTCAGAGGCCTGAACAGCAGTGTGTCCCGTGGGCCAGCAGGGTGGGCTGAGCTCAGCTGGGGGCTGCTTTTGCTGGCCTTGCCTGCGGTCTGTCTTGCATCTGTGGTCAGCTGAGGCCTGACTGGACCTAAATGGCTTCATTCATTGGCACATCCTCAGTCCCTCCACCCGACTGGGTCTGCGTCAGTAAAGGGGATTGCATCACATGTCCAGTTTCCAATAGGCCAGGCCAGGCTTTGCCTCATGGTGGTCTCAGGCTTCCAGAAGCCCCGGAGAGGGCAAGCCTCTGCCCACATCACATTTGCTATTGTCCTCTTGGCCAGAGGAAGTCAGGAGGCCCAGCCTAGATGGCAAGTGGAGAGCCCCCATCTGCTGGGGGGGAGCTGCAGTCACAGGGCAGAGGGTGCGGAGGCGGGTCAGCAGCCATCCCTGCGGGAGTCACCGGCATGTCCCTGCCGCCAGTCGTCAGGAGGCAGCCCTGCTCTAACGGGGTTCGTGGTCCAGGGGGGCCCAAAGATACCTAAACCAGAGATCAGGGCAACATGGTAGAGATTGTGGCCTGCGTTAGACTGGGTGGCCCTCACGCTGGAGCCAGACTCTGAGGGAAGGAGGAGAAGGGCTTGTGTGAGGACCCTCATGCCAGGGGAGCGCGCTCCTGGCCAACAGCCTGGGTGCGTGTGAGGAGAACCCAGGCTGAACGTGCCCCTGGAAGGAGGCGGAAGGATGAGGGCAGGTTCCAGAGCGCTGGTGCAGATAGGTTGAGTCTGGACACATGGATACAGGAAGCTGGAGGTAAAAAATATGGAAATCCTCAGCAAGTAGACATTTCAAACCCTGGGAATTTTTGTAAGATCCTACGAGGGGAGGTGTGAGAACAGATGATGCTGGACAGAGTTGGGGGCCACCCACCCCGACATCTGAGCGGCGCTAATAGAAACGTGAGCCTCATCTATTCTAAATGTTCCCCTAGCCACACAAAAAAGAGAAAGTTAATTTCAATAATACCTTTCACTTGGCCCAACATACCCAAAATATTACCTGTATTCAGCATTTCAGAAAAAGAATACATTTTTTCCACAGTTTTCAAAATTCCATGTGTGTGTGCTATTTGCAGTCCATCTCTGTTTAGGCCAGCCGACTTCTAAAGACTCCATGGTCACCAGTGGCTGGTGCTGCTCTATGGGACAGAGCGGCCAGCAAGGGAAGGACAAGAGACCCAGTCGGGTGGAGGGACTAAGATGTGGCACTGAAGCAGAGGGGCTCAAAATGGGGCAGGGGAGGGCCTCTGAGAGCCTCCCCAGGCCACACCTTGGGGCAGGCTTGCCTTGCTAGGTCAGGGTACCAGAACAGAGGTCAGGACAGACAAGACGGAAGGGAGAGAGAACATAGGGGAAGGGGGAGGACGGAACTCCGTAGCCACAGGCTAAGGTGGGAAACAGGGCAGAGGCCTGGTTTGGGCAGCACAGAACCTACACCCATGCCCATACTGCAGGGGATGGAGGCTGAAGTGTATGCTTGAGGATCTGGGAGTGGCAGTCAGGGAGAGGGGGCGGTGCGGGGTTCACCTGCCCCACTGTCTGTCTATAGGATGGAGGAGCTGGGCTTGTACCCTGCCGATCGCCAGGTGTACTTTGGACAGCTACTGGGCATGTGCGACCAGATTAGCTTCCCACTAGGTGAGTGAGGCCTCCCTGGGGAGCAGGGGTGGGGGTGTCCAGGGCTGGGACTCACTGCTTCTGCCTGTGTACAGGTCAGGCAGGCTTTCCCGTGTACAAGTATGTGCCCTATGGCCCTGTGATGGAGGTGCTGCCCTACCTGTCCCGCCGTGCCCTGGAGAACAGTGGCGTCGTGAAGGACGCCTGGCGGGAGCGACAGCTGCTGTGGCAGGAGCTCAAGCGGAGGCTCCGCACAGGCAGCCTTTTCCACCGTCCAGCCTAGTGTTCGCGGGCTACCGTCGTCATCCACCTTCAGACTTGGCCTCCAGCCCTTGCCTTGTGGGGCTCTGGGTGGCCCCTAGGCCGGCGCATAGCTACAGCCCAACCCCAGCCTCACGTGGATTCACCTTTTTACGCCCCTGAGACCTGCTGGAAGTGGGGCCTCAGTGCTCCTCTGGCCCCTGCTAAGGATGTGGGCACTCAGACTGTGTCTGATGCCTGCCAGCGCCACTGGGAACTGTCAGGAACTGCCTCTGAACAAGTGGGCACGACCCCCATCTCTGCCAGGCCCCATGACCTTGGACCCGGAGGACCAGTTTCTGCCAGGGTTCATCTAGCCCACCCCCCTTGAGCCCCACAGGCAGGCAGTCACCAGCCTGGGGAAGCTGGCCTGGTCAATAAACCACTACTTCTGCAGCCCTTAACTTTGTGCCTGCATTGCTCTTTCCCTTGCACCATCATGTGGGGTGAGCATCAAAGATGGGGTGGCACTGATGGCCCTGCCTCTCTGGCACCATGTGTCCCTGCGGGCCAGGCCCACCGTGGGTGGGGTGGACCCCCCAATCCCTCCCTTCAGGGTGTATCACAGATTCAGCTATGTCAGGTGCTGGACACCCCCACCCCTCGGCTCGGAGATGCTCCTAGGGGTGGGCTTGGTGCTTCTCTACCTGGGGACTCTCTCCCCCAGGCTCTTCCTACTGTTCTGTGCCCTCGCCCCAGCTGCCACATGACCCATGAGGCTCCTGCTCTTCTGACAGGAGCATACTCATGGCTGCCTGCCCCCGCCTCCAGCCTCCCAGAGCGGACTAGATGTGGTCCTAGTGCCTTGGGGCTTACCCAGGCCTGCTGCTCCATGAGGGAGCCACAGAGAGGGTGCCCCTGGGAGAGCCTCTGTGACAAAGGGGCGGGTGGGGGGGCCTCTGCTGGTTCCTCCGTAGGCCACAGAGCTACAAGGCGAGGGCCCTAGTTGGGCCCTGGTCATGGCAGATACCACAGAGCTAGCACACAGGCGACATGCAGGTCACACTGAGGTACCTTTATTTCTCTGGCCCTCACAGGACTTGGGCCTTGGAGTGTTTCCCACTTACTTAGGGGGCTGCACCTGCCAAGGAAGGGGCTGAGACCAGAAGATGGGGCATGGCGAACGTTGGGATGCGCCCAGTGGAGTGAGAAGGTGCCTAGGACCTCCAGCCCCCTCTCCCGACTCTGGGGCGGCCAGCAGAACGGACCCGCTCTGCCCTTCCCCGCACCGTCCTAGCTTTGGACAAAAAAAAAAAAAAAAATCAAAGGTGGGTGGCAGGTGCAGCCAGGGTCCATCTGGCCTCTCCTCAGAGGGTCGACCCCTCCTGCAGGCAACTGGGAAGGTGGTGGCCAGGTGTTGGAAGACAAGTTCCGCTCAGCTTTCTGCTGCCTGTGGTGCCAGGAACAGGGCTGTCTTCTCAGCCATGACGGGCAGCAGGTAACTGGCAGAGACCCCACCTGGTCACAAGGTTGTCTTCCCCGCCTGGCGGCCCCTCTGCTGCAGCTTCCTGATGAGCTCCAACAGGTTCATCTGCAGCGTCAGCTCCTGGGGTGCAGAAGGGCTGCTGTGAGACCAGAATGACACCTGGTCTCTCCTCCCCTGGCAAAAGCCCCCTTTCCCACGGGCCTAGAGGCAGATATAGCGGCCTACAGAGTGCCAGGCAGTGAACCCATGGGACTGACTTCCCGGGACTCCTGGCCACGGCTTGCCAGAACGGGACAGAAGCAGGGGCGTCACCTGCAACAGGGCCTGCAGCTGCCCTGGCTTGGGGCACAGGACCTTGTGAGCAGCAGGGCCTGGGGGAGGTGGACAATGCTCCCACAGCCAGTTGGCTTGCCTTCCTGTGGGCAGAGGCAGTGGGACCTGCCTGCCTAATTCTTCCCTCCTCCCCTCCCCCGACACACTCTGGGTCTGGCTCCCCAGGGACCAGTGATAAAACCCCAGACGGAACTGGGCCTTTGGGAACCAGCATCCCCTGGGCTATGCCAGGGCAGGCCTGAGGCACTGACCTGTGGGTTGGTGGTCACATAGAAGCCAGCAACCCCAGCCTTCTCCAGTGTGCTCTGCTGGTCGGCTACCTTCCGGTCCAGCTCTAGGACAATCTTCTGGTCCATTGCCCGCTGCTCCTCCCGGATCCGGTGCTCCACTGCCTGCACGGTGAGGGCGGCTCAGGGGCTCAGCCCCCTGCCCATCACACGCTGCCTCACACACACACTGGTGGCCTGCCATTTCCTCCAGCCTGCTCCCCACTCCCAGTGGCTCCAAGACCACTGATGGTGCCCTTACTGCACCCAGGTTGCTCCCTTCTCGGCCACACTGAACCCTACAGAAGGGCTCGGCTGCCCTACCCGGAATGCTCTCCCTTCCAGGACCCCCGGCCAGGTGTCCTCCCTTTGCTGTGCCAGGCCTTGCCCAGCAAGGACTGCTCGGGACCACCATGAGCTGGCCAGATGCCAGGTCCACTTCTGCTTACTATCAAGTTGCCAAACGTCTCTGGGCCTTTGTATATGTTCCCTCCCCACTGGGGCTGCTTGCCGATCCCAGCTCGGCACCTCTTCCCTGTGAGCCCTGGCTCTAGGCTGCTTGGGACCCCTGCATAAGCCTTTCCATGCACCCCCACCACCCATGGCTTCCTGGTTACATATGGGTCTCCTGGTTGTCCTGGAGCAACCTGGAAGCAGACTGGGCTTCTGCTGGCTGGCCCACCACCCCACCATTGCCCTGAACAGGCCCAGCCCTTGAAGAGCTATGGTCTTGGGAAGCAGGGGGATCACACTCTCTACCCGGTCCTGCCACATCCCAACCCCCAGAGTGAAAAGCCACATTTGGGGACTCATCAGGCCTCCAACGGCCCACGCAAGTTGAGGCCCAGAGCAGCCAGGAGCTCCCAAACCGCCCTGAGCCCTCTTCACCACAGCCCAGGTGATACCCACCCAGCTCACACCCCTACCTCCAGCTCACGCTGCTGAGCTGCCTGGAGCACAGGCAAGTTGTGGGGCCGGCAGGCCTGCTGGGCTTCCTGGTGCTTCTGTCGCAGCGCCTGCCTGAGCACTAGGAGGAGATGAGACCAGAGAAGTCCAGCAGGTGGTGGGGGGCGAGATGGAGGGGGGCAGGACACACTTCTTGCCTCGGCACCTACCCTGGCTGTCCCACCATGGGGCGGCCAGGCCAAGGTGCAGAGGTGAAGCCCCGCCTGATGACCCAGCCCATCTGAAGCCCTGCACTACAAGGTGGGTGGAGTTCTGGGGGACGCCTAGTCCCCTAGCCCACTCGGTCTTGCCCTCACCCAGGGCAGGGCCTTTCTCTAGCAGTGAGGATCCAGGGGACTCTGGAGGGTGCAAGGCAACTGAGGGTGAGACAGGGCAGGCTGGCCAGAGCTATAGCCAGTGCTCACAAGGCCAAAAGGAGTGGGAGACTAGTCCAGAGGCTTCTGGGCTCAGATGGCCACAGGCCAGCAGTCCTAGGTGTGAGCTGCCCATCACCCATGGGACGTTCACGGAGATGTCCACCTGAGGGTCCACTGTGAGACCATCCAGGCAAAGTCTGGAAAAGGAAGGAGAGGAGAGGAGTCATTGTGCCCAAGCATGGCATGGCCTCTGCCCATGGTGGCGTGGTGGTGTCATTCCCTCAGTGCTGCCCTTCAGGTGGGCAGAGCTGCCCCACCCCATCCATAGCTCCCAGAGCGGGTAAGGTGGGTACAAACCCTGGGAGGCCCAAGGATGAGATAAGCCATTAGAGGCCCTGTGCTGGGGAGTCTGTGTTGCTTGGAGTGGGGCTCACAATGGCCACTGAGAAAGCTCTCACAGTTGCCATTAAATCATACCATAAATAGAAGCAAAATTGTCCACTGTGATAGGACTGGACAGAGGACAAAGGTACCATGCATGGAATGGAAAGAAACTGATTACAAAACAGAATACTCAAAACTACACAGCCCAAGGCCGCCTGGGTGGCTCAGTCAGTTAAGTGTCCAACTCTTGATTTTGGCTCAGATCATGATCTCGGGGTTGTCAGTTCGAGCCCCACATCAGGCTCCGCACTGGGCATGAGCCTGCTTAAGGTTCTATCTCCTCTCCCTCTGCCCTTCCCCTCCCCCGCCCACCACTCTTTCTCTCTCAAAAAAACAAAACAAACAAAAACCCAAAAGCAAAACAAACAAAAGAAACCACTCAAACTACACAGCCCAAATCCTAGACCAATGTCAAGTGGCCAGATCTCCCCTATAAGGAGTGGTCCCTGGCCATAAGGAAACACAAACCCAACATTATGTCTTAAGCAGACACCTCTTAGCAAGTAGTTTGGCACCTCCTGTGCCCAGAACCTTCCCAATCTCCTGTTTCTTGGCATTCTGTGCACACCTCAACAAGCATTTATCACATTAAATGAGTTTGAAACCAAGAGCCACACTTAAAGACACCTCCATAAACACAGGGACAAGGAGATGCTCCCAGGTCAATGTTTATACCCCGTGGAGGCAGGATGGGAGGAAACAGATAAATGCAGGGATATGTCATCTCCTTTGCTCCGTTTATGAAACGTTGCTGCAAATCCCAGGACAACTCCCAAAGTGCAGTGGGTGAGCAACCGCAGGTGAGAAGGGAGCTGTGCCCACTGCCCAGGTGGGAGGGGACTGGCTTTAGCCATGACCAAGGAAAACAACGGCCGCCAATCACCACCACCTGCTGACTCAGAGGGAAGGAAAAGCAGAAAGTCACAGGGTGCTTACCCACTGCTGGTGGTATTAAAACCTGCCCGAAACTTCCAAAGGACAAGTAGCAAAGTGTCTAGAGGGTTATCAAAAACTCCCCATTAAAAGGAACCAGGATTCTGTGAAGAGATTGCTGCCCACCCCCTACTTTTATTATTCTGAGTGCTTTACTGGCTCCCTGAACTAGTAACCTCTGTGGAGATAAACAGAGATCACGCCACAGGAGAACAAGAACTACTTACTGACAGCAAGATAGTAAGTGACCACCACTGCCTGCATTTGGCAGAGACTCAAGCAGAGGCAGGAGAAGTGGGAAAGCTTTTTTGCAGCCGAAGGGGAAGGTGCATCCTGACGGGAGGCTGCTGGAGAAGCTGGAGGGGAGGAGGCAGGGAAAGAACAAGAAAGGATGAGCCTAAACACCTTCCTGCACCAGAAAGCAAGGAAGTGCTCCGAGAATGATGGGGACACATCAAAAAGACAGAGGAGCCAGCCCAAGAGCTCTGCCACTGACCAAACGTGGCATAATTTGAGCATTACAAAGAATAATGAGCTATATACTTTGGATTTGTGACTGTATATGCATGCTACACCTCAATAGAAATGTTTACAAAGACAACTGCTCCAACAGCAGGGAAAAGGTAATACCAATTCCATAAAAATTCTTCTAGAAAACAGAAGAGAATACTTCCCCCAATTCACTCTATGAAGCCAGCTTTACCTTATTACCCCATCCAAAGACATTATAAGAAACTACAGATCAATGTCCATTATGAACATAGAGGCAAAAATTCTTAACAAGATTTTAGCAAATCAAATACAACATAATAAAAAGGGTAACACATCCTACCAAATGGGATTTATCCCAGGAATGCGGTTTATCCCAGGAATGCAAAAAATGAGTGTAATTCACCAGTTAACCAAAAAGCCACGTGATCATCTCCATAGATGCAGAAAAAGGGATTCAACAAAACCCAATGTCCACTCCTGAAAGAAACACTAGTTTTTGCCACAAATGTGGAAGCTGCCTATCATCACGCCTGGACCTGCTGTCCAGCTGACAGGAAACACAGAGCGTGTAGAAATGGTTAAATGACAGCATGAGGAAGCAATCTGACAGATCCAGAATGGGGACATTCTACAGGCAGAATGCCCCAGACTCTTCAAAAAGTCCTATAGTAAATGTGACTATTCCAGAAGCAGAGACCAAAGTAACCAACTGCAATGCATAAACCTACACTGGCCTCACAAAGCGACAGTTTACGACAAGTTGGATAATGTGATTGCGGACTGAAGATCAGAAGACACCCTGGAATGACTTAAGTTTTCAGGACGCTGTCCACAGTGCTCACATTGGCGAGTGTTCTTGATCTAGAGCACTGGTTCTCAATCCTGGGCCAAGTTTGATCCCCAAGGATGTCTGAAGACATTTGATTGTCACTGCGGGGTGTGCCACTGTCATCTAGTGGGTAGAAGCCAGGGATGCTGCTAAACAGCTTGCAATGCACAAGACACTGTCTTACCATTAAGACTTGTTCAGCCACAAATAACAACGCTGCGCTTTTGAAAATCCCAGTCTAGAGGAATGTTGAAGACTCACGGTGAAGTCCTATGGTGTTGCATATATTTGGGGGTATTAAGGCTTTAGCAAAATGTTACTGAATCTAGCTGGAGAGGATATGGGTATACATTACGCTATTCTTTCAACTTTACTGAATGTTTTAACCTTTTTTTATATATAAATAAGTTGGGTAAAAACAAAATAACAAAGGTGGGAAACTGATGGGGCAGGGAGAGCTGCCCAGCATACCTTGCAGGAAGGGGCTCCAGGAGACCTCTGAGTGGGGATGCCTGGGAGGGGCCAAGGCTCATAAGGCTTTGGCTGAGGGTGTGGCTCAAGCGAGGAAGTTTTCGGGTCCCAAGGGTGCCACAGGGCACAGTGCAGGGGAACTCAATGTGCGGGTGGTGGTGTGGCCCTCTGCGCTGCCGGAAGGGAAAATGACCCTAAAGGGCACGGCAGAGCTGTCAACACTTCGGGACATCACTGGGGGGCGGTCAATGGCTAACGCTGACCGCCACTACCGGGATCTGTCGATGGACTGACCAGGCAGGGAGGCCTTGGGTCATCCTGCTTGGAGGAAGGTGGAGACACGGAAAAGTCCGGGCAGGGAGTGTCTGGATATTATGCTAACAAGGGGCCGTGCAACTGAAAAAATTAAACTGCTTTGACCCCTTTGTCGCCAAAAAGACGCTAGCAGTCTCCGAGCCCTTGACCTGGTCAATTTTAGGGACTCCATCTGAGCGACACCCAGGGCAGGGCTCGGCCTGCACAGAGACCGAGAGCTAAACTCCCAGAGAAGCGTGCGTCGTCCCGCCGCCCCCGCGCACCTCGGTGCTCATTCTGCAGCCGCAGGCGCTGGTTGTACAGGCTCTTCTCTGTGAGGTGCTGGATCTCCAGCAGCCCCTGCACGATCTCGAACACGGTGCCGTCGAGAAGCGCCAGGGCCAGGTCGCTGAGCGTGGTGTAGGACAGGCGCTGCTGGAAGGAGCTGCGGGCAGAGGGGCGAGGTGAGCGCGGGCCGGACCCAGGGCCACTTTCAGCCGCCCGTTCCGCCCCGCGGCCGCGCACCTGGGCAGCTCTTTCACTAGGCTCTGCAGCGCGGACAGCAGCTGGTAGTGCCGCTCCTGCTGCCGGGCCCCATCTACCGCCTCCTCGAAGGCGCCCGTGTAGCGCTCCATGGCGCCGGAGCCCAGCCAGCCGCCGGCTAGAGCAACGCGCGCCCCCTCTGCGTCAGTTCCTAGTGCGGCGCGTCCCGCCCATTTTACGTCCGTTCGAAGGCGGTGCGTCCCGCCCCCTTTTACGACAGTTAAGCACGGCGCGGCCCACCCTCTGCGCCCTGCAGAAGGAGGCTCTCTCTCCGCGGAGGTTTTAAGGAGGGTCCCTAGTTGTCTCCGCCTCTTACCATGCCATTTTGCCCACGCGACTTCAGAGTACGCGTAACCATAGCGTCGAAATCGCGAGATTTCGAAGAAGCCCGCCCTGCCCGCTCAAAGTGGGGGCTGACCGAAGCCCAGCCCCACTGGGGATGTATGGCTGGGCTGGGCGGTGTCCTGGGGGGAAGAGGTAGGAGGGAGGGGTCTCGTCCAGCGCATGCGCCTGCTGGGGCGCCGGGGGGGGGCGGGGGCTGCGGTGTTTGCCCCTGTTGCTTTCCCAAAAGGGGCTTGAGTCACTCATCGCTGAGCTCCGCCAATACAAGCGGCGTGACCTTGAGCCATTTTCGTCACCTTCAGGCCTCAGTCTCCTTGTCTTCCATTCATAGGACGTTTGTCGAGGTTACCTGTCGAGAGAGCCCCCACCCCAAACACACACACCTGCGCAGGGTGTGGGAGCTCCAGCAGCGGTGGTGTAGGCAGGCCCTGCGCGCTGGAAGAAGCGCCTGGCTTCGGCGGGGGCGGTTCCCCCCTCCCCCGCCTTCCCCAACCACAGCACCTTCGGGACAGTCCCGTTTCCCGCCTCGCTTCTGCCTCCACCAGGGTAGTCAACATGTCGAAGAAAACCTGACCCAATGTCTCAGTCCAACCTTGAGAATAAATTTCCTGGAATCCACAATTACGGTTTTCATAAGCCACAAAAATCTACAAAACAGTTTCGATTGCTGAATATCCTGCTGGGCTCATGGGGGCAGGGGATTCCCGCCATGGAAAACCAGCATCGTGTCTTCCTCCTCTCAGTGGGAGGGTGTGCAGTGCTGCCAAAAATTGGGAGGGGGCTGCTGTATAGTGAAATGCAAAAGTAGGTAGACTCCTGAAGAAGACAACCAGAAAGAAGGCTTGTGTGGCCCGCTCGAGCGGGAGAATCCAACTGGCCTTGGATAGAATGCCCAGACTTTTTGAGAAGAGGGCATGCTGACCCCCTGGGGGCTCTGTAGGGTCAGGGCCAAGGAGAGGAGTCAGCCTAACTTAGGGCATTCCCTAGGATGATCCCTTGACCAAGACTCGTTGACCAAACTTTGGGCAGGTTTCTCTGAGCGCTCTTCTGACTAGGCCTCATGCTTGGTGATGTGGGAAACAAAGGCAGAAGAAAAATTATTAAATTTCCTTACTACTTACAGCCCATTGACAAGTCCTTGAAACAGGCAGAGTGACATTCCTCTAGGGACTCAACTGCCTCAATGTTAATACTAAGGGCAAAAAACAATCCTAGCCCAATGCTGCCACCCCCCCCCCACGATCCTGTAAGTCTACTTTAACATACAAAAATTCCTTTAGAAATTTCCTTTATCTCTAAACCCCCCCCAAGATATGTGTTGGCAATCACCCCTGCCCCAAGCATATGGCCTGACAATATACATCTGAAGGGTTTCATGACTAAGGTTTTATTAGACAGTAATAAATGACCTTTTCCCACCAATAGCCCCTCAATGTCCTGGAAGCCTTGCTTCCAAGTTCCTTGGAGACTTACGCTATCCCTAACCTCTTTCCAACTTGAAAGTAGATAATGGGCCCCTCCTCATGACCTCAGTGCGGCTCTTTCTGACCATGGGTCCTGTCCCCATGCTTTAATAAAACCAACTTTATGCACCAAAGATGTCTCAAGAATTCTTTCTTGGACGTCAGCTTTGAACCCTAACATTCTTTCCTACATCGCTTGGGCCGTCTTCAGCCTGCCTCGTCCAGTTGTATAAAGAATCCTGTTAAGTCAGTTTAGAGAGAAGGCCCTACCCTTGATATCTGATTGACCTTGAAACTGATTGAAGTCCTTGTCCCCTACTCAAGAGGACCCATGAGGCTGGGCCGCAGCAGCCAAAGGGAGAGTGTATTGGGGTACATGTTACAGAGGCTCCTGAGGGCTTGTCCTAAGAGCAGTAGGGGGATCTGAAGGTTTAGGGGCACAGACATGATCAGATTTGCCTTTCCCAAGTTACTTGGTAGCCACCATGGTGGGATTTGAGATGACAGGGCTTCAACCGGGGAAGGGTGGAGGGAGGGCAACACAGGGAGGTGGGGGGGGGGCTTCTAGAGCCACCTGGGGTTGTACTGAAGTCCCCACATGGTCCTCACAGTTTTCTCCAGGGTGTTTCCTCAGTCCGGGCAGGGTTGGCTCTCCCTTCCTCACATGTCCTTGTGATGCCTCTGGGCCTGGAACCAGGAATGAATAGAATGAACGAATGACAAGCACAGGGGAGAGCACCCTGGCACCCTGCACCAGACTCCTGGCTGGTGACAGGAGCCGGAGCTGCCATGTGGGAGCTGAGCAGCTGTGAGTGGCTGCAGGAATGGGCTGGGTCTAGGCCTGGGCACTGTCACCTCCCTGGAGATCATAGGCAGTGGGTGATCACAGCATCTGGGTGAGGGGGCCTACCTGAGTCCTGGAGGAGACCTAGATGGCGGGAGGTGCTGGGGTTTCAGTCTGGGCCCACCTCTCAGTTCCCCATCTGTGAAGGGCATCTGCGTGAAGCCTGGGTCTGAGATAGAGATTCATGCTCTGGCCAGATAGGTGACCACAAGGCCCCTCTGCCCAGGCAAGCTCGGTGTATCTGGTTGCTCCAAGTCCTGGGAAGTCCAGGTGGGCAAAGTCAGGCAGGCCTGGGTTTGGAAGCTACTCCACAGCCTTGCTCTGCTGCTGGAGCAGGAGGGCCCCTCTGGCAACCCTGGTCTGACCTGCATTAGCAGCACTCCTCTCTGGTGTGGACACAGGTGGTGGGTCACTCAGGGCTGTGGACTCCTGGGCCTCCTCTGGGTTACCAGTGAGGGCCTGATGGGAGGGAGGGGGTTCTGACTCCCTAGATCCCTAGAGCTGACGGTGTTGGCACCCTGGGAGGTATGTCTGTAGGAACAGGGGGCTGGCATGTAGATGGGACATGCAGTGGGGATACATGTCCCCTGTGTGTGTGGGCTCAGTGGGGCCACATAACACATGCTGGGTTATGTCTACCATGAACCTTCGCTCTACAGCTGCCATCTGTTTGCTCCACTTGGCCTCCCAAGCCTGAGAAGCTGGCTAATAAGACTTCGGTGACTGGAACACACTGGACTGGCTCTTCAACGTCAGGTGGGTATGGCTGGTTGTTTTTGTGTTTTGAGGAGCTGCAGTCCCTGTCTCGGACTGCACAACTGGACGGGCACAGCTGAGTCTGTGGTGTGAAGGGGTGTGTGTTTATGTGTGCGGCTAAAGGCTTCACTGTGGTTTTTATAGCCGTTGGTCCTTGAGTGTTGTGTGGGCCTCTGTATCCTTTGAGTTTTTTTTATGTGAGGGTCTTGCTGTGTGTATAGAGACATGGTTCTGCTCTGGTGTCCTGGTGCCCTGCACACATCCACATAGGCCATGCAGACAAAGGCATGAACCACAGCTGATATAAGTCTTGGCAGAACATCTGTGATCCTTCTAGAACACTGGGGGAGGCCTGTGGAGGCCTCTTTCAAGGCCACTTTTCACTCACCCCCTGATTCCCCTAGGGGCTCTTCTGAGGTGGGTGCTCCCTGCCCAGTTCCTCAGAACAGAGTTGCAGCTGATAAAACCCTCTGCTGCCATGGGGAATGGGCTTCTCGGTGATGGGATATCCCACAACCCGTGCTGTGCTTCTGGCCCTTTTGTTTCCTTGTCATCCTTTTTGGTGTGTGGGGCAAGGACAAACATGTGATTGGTTTGTCAGTGTGTGCTGTAGATTTTCATGAAGTGAGTATGTGGAGAGTCAGCTCATGTTATTATAGAGGCTGAAAAGTGTGCCATCTGCAAGACTGAGACCCAGGAAAGCTGATGGTGTAATTCGGTGTGAGTCTGCAGGTCTGAGAATAGGGGAGCTGATGGTAAAAATCCCAGTGTGAGGGCAGGAGATGTAATGAGTTGTTTTAGCTCAAACAGCAAGTCCAAGGAAAAAAGGGTTGAATTCCTCCTTCCTCCTCTTTTTTGTTCTTTCTATTCAGGCCCTCAGTGGGTTGGATGAGGCCCACACACATGGTGGGGGGTGGCAATATGTTTTGGAATCGAATGATTCAATGGAAATGCTGCTCTGACCTGGAAATGCCCTCAGACATATCCAGAAATATTGTTTAATCTGGACTCCCCATGGCCAGTCAGGTTGACCCATGACTAGTCTACCCCTTATCAACCTGGCACCCATACACATCTCTTCAAGCCATAAGGAATTACTTATGACCAAATAAAGGGGTCATGATTCTGCCTTACATGATACAACCTTTGTACGAGGGAAAAGGCACTAACTCCTTCCCTAGCAGAGGAGGTAGGTCCTTGAGTGATGTTTCCTTTTCTCCTTGATATGTAACTTAAACACTATGATGTGGAATTGGCCATACTTAAATCCTATGATAAAAATTGGTACATCTTATGTTACATGATAAGCGCATAAAAGAGGGGGAAAAAAGATATACACAAACGTATTCATAGTAAAATAAGGAGGAAATACTCATGATGATTGTGGTCCTCATTTCTGTTTCTGTAACGGATCACGTGGCCGTAGCTGACATTTACAGCTAACTTCTTTCACTACCCCTTCTGTATTCCCTTTGCCTTTAGTGAGCGCTTCAGCTGGTTTTATTCTTTACTTGGTGAGTAGACCCAATCCTTCATTCCTGCCTATTACTTGGGTCATCATAGTTTTACATTAACCTTGATCACAGGGCATGGTGAAACCGAGAGAGGCCCTAAGGGATCTCCTGTATTCCAGACATATTGTACCTTACTTCTATTGTGCAGTGGTAGTCCAATTTTCCCTTGGTAGTCAGGATCAGTCACCCCAGGCAACACCACAATTCCCTTCTCTTGTTTATTGATTCAGAGGCACGAAGAGACGAAAGTGGCTGAGTGGCAGTCTTAACCTCCAGGTCAATGGAATCATTGTGTCTCCTTGTAAGAGC